TACGAATGCCGGTAGTCGGGCTCACAGTAGGCTTCTCCCCGGTCCCGGCTGCAACCGTTGCGCCGATAGCTTCCGTAGTAGCGCCGGTCGTACAGCCTCCGGTCCGACGAGTGATCGTCGTAACTGCTGGGGGACAACACACAGCCACTAGCTGCGCCGGCTCTGGCCACGGTCCTCACACGGGACGGAACAAGCCCTGCCTTGACGGGGCAAGTGGCGTTACCAGAAAACCTGCTCTCGGCCACTCTGAGGACCGAGGACCAGAGACGGAAGAGGAGGACCCCACAGCGCCGTGTCACCCAGGCCTGCGGACAGACTCCGACGGAACTATCGCCTCTGGGGGCCTCCCCTCCGTTCCCCTACAACAAATGGAGCAAAGAGCCATTTCTGTCCTAACATCCGGTTCTGCTCCAAACTGCCCCTACCCTGCCCCTCCCACAGAACACGCTGCTGTCACTGAAACCAAGCAGACCTGACTTTGTCTTTTGTTAGGTCAGTAGCTCCCTCTAGACCCTCGCCTTCTGTGTGGGCCTCCTTTCCCTCGGCCTGAGACGAGCTTAGATGGCAAGTTCTCGAGGAAACTTCCCTGAATTACTCATCCTGCCGCGCTCCCACCAAACCCGCTGGACGCTTCCTCAGCTCCTACGATCTACTTCCTCTACACGAACACACACAGCACAACTGGCCACCTCCAGTAACAGTCTTGAACATCACGTTATCCAACTGCTCAGTGTGTAACCACGAAATCTTTGTTTAATAAACGAGTGAATGACCCTGGACCCGAGTTTCCCCTCCTGAAACCTCACCTCCGGGAACGGACATGGTAGCTGTCTTCCCGCCGGCGCCGCCGTGTCCGGTCACTGCTACTGGACCAGGAGCGGCTTCTTCGTCTCTTATGTTTTCGGCTCCGATAGTGCTCATGGTAACTGCCCCGGCTGCCTCGCTCTGAGGAATGGTACCTTCGGGGATGAGGCATCTGGAAGGGAAGGAAAAACAGAAATAGTGGGGAAAAGCTCTGCGTTTCCAGGATTCTGCTCCGAGGCCTGGCTGTTCCAGAGACACTGAGCTGCCTTGAGCCCTTTTACTCCTTTCACAACCTACAACTTCCTCGGCCTTCCTCGTGCTCGTAACTTCTCCTGAGCGGAGTGTGGTATGGGTCGTCTGCGAATGCTGGTGGCAAACTCCAGGAGCACCCACCCCCCACCCCAGCCAGCCCCTTCATCTCATTGTTCCACAGACTCTCCTCAATCGAGGCTCCAGGAAGCACTTCAGGTCTGGGCCCCAGCTCATTGGAGGGGAGGCTGTGTAACTGATGGAGATGGCGTCTGTCCCTGGCGGGCAGCTACACTACATCTGCCCCACTCCGCGCTTCCTCACAGCTCGACACAGCAGCATCTTAGGATACATGATCGTGAAAAACGTTCTACAGTTATTAGGACCGGATCTCTGTCTTCCCAAGCAGACCACGCGGCATTCTGTGGCAAGAACGCAGTTTACCAGGCTTCTGCAGATAGCGATATCCACCAAATACAAGGAAGTTCCAGGGCTTTCGGTCTGACCTCTTGAACTGCCCTCATCACCTCTCGCATCACTGGCCAGCTCCCCCTTAAAAGTTAGTAATACGGGGGCCCCAGGCTGCAGTCGGCTTCCCATCTGGCTCCTCCCCTCTCGTGTTTAGGAATTACTGAATAACCGTGTTTAATTAGCATCACGCTCCCTTCCAGTTCGTTACTGGAACTGAAAGACCACGGTGCACAAGCGCTTTTTTCCTTAAAGGAAAAAACCACGGACAAGTCACCCTCACAATCCAGAAAAGGAGGATATGAGAACAAAATAAATTACACACACCCAGGGACGCAAGTCTTGGGGGGCCATTAGGTGTGGAAAGGCTTAATGACTCCAACATCTGGCTTTCATCCCGGGCGCTACTGCCCGACCGAACACCGAGGAGGGGGACACCGGATCCTGCGCGGGTCTAACTAGGCCTGCAGCAAAGGTGCGGGCGCAGGGCTCCCCAGGTACTCCCACCTGGCGGGGCGCAGCCTCGTAACTCTCTCGCCGCACAACACACCGCGCCGAAGTTCCTCACAGCCGCCCCCCACCCCGAGGCGGCTGCACTTGACCTTTCTCAACTCCACGCCTCCCCCCACCCTCCTTTCCCACTCGGAAAACCCAGGACCGACTTCTCGAGTCCAACTCTGCCTGCGCTCCCAGGACGCCGGCGGCATCCCCCGCGCCCCCAGCCTGGGTCCAACTTTGGGGCTGCGCTCCCTTCCGTCTCTGGAGCCCCTCCCATCCCCGCCCCGTCGCCCCCTCCGACTCCGGCCCCTCCCGCTCCCACAGGGCCTCCCGGGTCCACGCGGGGCAGGCCGGTCTTGCTCCTCACCTCCCCTCTCCTCACCTCCGCCGCCCCGCAGGGCTCTCCCCGCCTCCTCTCCCCGCGCCCCGCGGCCGGGCCCCCAACCCCACTCTGCCCCCGCCCGCTCCGCGGTCGCCATCTTCCCGCGCGGCCCCGCGGCCCGCAAGCCCGCGCGCTCACCGTTCTGGCGGCGAGGCCCGTGCGCTTGTCCCACAGGAAGTCCGTGATGGCGGCGGCACTGCGGCCGGAGTCCCGGCACCCCCGCGGCGACGAAGTGCGGCTCCACCCCCCCGACCCGAGACCCGGGGACCTCCCGCCTCTTTCCCGGGCTCCGCTCCAGTCCCGCCCGCCCCGGCTCCGTCCCCGCCCCCAGGGTCCGCTCGGCGCCGCTCGCACCGCCCCCGCCCGGGGCCCGATCCCAGCTCGGTCTCCCGCTCTGGCCTCTCCGATCCGCCGCCGCCACCGCGAGCGCGCACGCACGCACGCACGCACGCACGCACGCACGCACGCACGCACCACCTCCCAGCGACCCCGGGCCCCGCCCCCAGGGCGGCGCGCACGCCGCCGCGTCCTCGCGTAGCTGGCGGGCGCGGCCGTGGGAGCGCGGGGGCGGGGCGCGGGGGCGGGGCGC